AGCCAGACACACCCCGACGCCAACCCAGCGCCCGGGGGCTCCGACCTCGACGCCAAGTCGGCGCTCGGGGGCTCTGACCCTAGTGCCTCCATGATGACGTCACCAGCCGATGTCGTCGTGTTGGCACTCTATCAAACCGACTGGCGAGCGCCGCTGCTCGCCTACCTCCTCGAGGAGGTTCTCCCACCCGAAAGGACTAAAGCCGATGGATCGCTCGATGCGCCAAGACCTTCATCGTGCTCGGTGATGAACTCTAAAAATAGAGTCCATCGGGGGTGCTCATGAAGTGCATCCCTACCAACCAGGGGAAGCAGCTCCTCCTCGAGGTCCATGCTGGGTTCTGCGGACATCAAGCGGCCCAGAGGTCGCTGGTTGGAAAAGCCTTTCGCCAAGTTTTTTACTGGCCCACTGCACTACGAGACGCAGATGAGGTCGTCCGCAGGTGTGAGGGATGCCAGTTCTCCGCTCGGCAAACACATTTGCCAGCACAGGAGCTTCAAACCATCCCCATCACTCACCTCAAAAAAGTCATAGGCGGCTTCACTCACCTACTCGTAGCGGTCGACAAGTTCACCAAGTGGATAGAGGCCAAGCCCATCACCAACATCTGCTCGGAAGAGGTGGTCAAATTCTTCCTCGACATCATCTACCGGTTCGGCGTTCCTAACTGTATCATCACTAACCATGTGACTAACTTCACGGGGAAGAAGTTTCTGGACTTCAGTGATGGATACGGCATCAGAATCGACTGGGCCTCGGTCGGACATCCACGTAGTAACGATCAGGTCGAGCATGCCAATGGCATGGTCCTCCAAGGTCTTAAGCCACGCATCTTCGACCGACTCAACAAGTACGCCGAGCGATGGGTTGCAAAGGTCCCTGCTATCCTCTGGAGCCTAAGAATGACCCCGAACCAATCCATAGGGTTCACACCCTTCTTCCTGGCCTACGGAGCTGAAGCAGTGCTGCCCTCCGACCTCGACCACGTCGCCCCAAGGGTGAAGGCTTTCGACTGTGACCGAGTCACGAAGGCTCAGCAAGATGCAATTGACCTGCTCGAAGAGGCCCACGAGACGACCATCATCTGCTCCGCTCGCTACCAGCAAACTCTCCGTAGGTACCACAAAAGGAAGATCAGGGGGAGGACTCTCGAAGTTGGCGATCTCATACTCTGGAGGCCCCAATCAACGAAGAAGAAGCACAAACTCTATCCACCATGGGAAGGTCCCTATACGGTGACCGAGGCGATCCGACCGGGCGCCTACCGACTGACGGACGACAACGGAGATGTTCTCACCAACACTTGTCACTCGAGTCATCAAGGCAACATTACCAACCCCCACTATTTCTTTTATATAAACATTCATCTGTTGTCATTCACTCATCTATACACACATTCATTCATTCCATACATCCGAGGCATCGCATATGTAGTTAAATGCATCACAACGCTCCGTGTTGCGTCATGAAGTGGTAGTTGCCTCATTCAACATGGACAATGACCGACCGGGGTTCGAAGGTTGGCCCACGAAGGGCTTGAGGCCGCCTTGCGTCAAATAGAGTCAGGGGAGAAAATGCAGATGAGCCCCGAGCGGCCCTCGCCAAGTATGCCCCGAAGCAGACAGGGTCATCACGACCTTCTCGTTCGATCCTAACCTTGCCAAACCTATAGAATCTCCATCAAGGGGAGGCCAGCGGGCCACCCGGGTTGGTCTCTGGAATGACCCAGGCATATACTAGGTTGCAGGTTAAGGAGCAGTGGAATGCCACATGAGGGCTATACCGACCCCGTCACGAACGACGGACCCTGATTTCACTAGAACATGCCCATTAGCGAGCTCATTGAGCGCGTCACTCGAGCCATCGAGGCAAACAACGTTAGCTTAGCCCCTCCGGTTGCGAGAAACCACGGACGGGGTAACGCACAAAACTCAACCGACCCCTACCAAGCCCAATAAGGCTCAGGGGCTCAAGACGCCTAAACTGCCTCGGTTGCGCCTAACGCCAGGATCTGTGAGCTCCATCTCGCCTGATCCATAAACTACCTCGGCTGAGCCCGATGCCAGGATCCGTGAGCTCCATCATGCCCGATCCCTAAACTACCTCGGTTGCGCCCGACGCCAGGATCCGTGACTCCGTCTTGCCCGATCCCTAAACTGCCTCGGCTACGCTCGACGCAAGGATCCACGAGCTCCGTCTCGTCCGATCCCTAAACTGCCTCGGATGCACCCGACACCAGGATCCGCGAGCTCTGTCTCGCTCGATCCCTAAACTCCCTCGGCTACGCCCGACATCAGGATCCACGAGCTTCGTATCGCCCGATCCCTAAACTGCCTCGGCTGCGCCCGACACCAGGATCCACGAGCTCCATCTCGCCCGATCCCTAAACTGCCTTGGCTACGCCCGACGCCACGATCCGCGAGCTCCGTCTCACCCGATCCCTAAACTGCCTCGGCTGCGCCCGACGCTAGGACCTGCGACTCTGTCTCGCTCGATCCCTAAACTACCTCGGCTACGCCCGACGCTAGGATCTATGAGCTCCGTCTCGCCCGATCCCCAAACTGCCTCGGCTGCGCCCGACGCCAGGATCCGCAAGCTCCATCTCGCCCGATCCCTAAACTGCCTTAGCTGCGCCTGACGCCTGGATCGGTCCCTAAAAAATGCCTCGCGCACGCCCGCTAACAAAACCCCCTAGGTGATTCTACCCGAATCACCCGGGGGCTACACCCGTGGGTGCGCTCACGCTTACCCGCTGACGAAACAAAACTTCCCCTGCTGGCAACACAAAGAACCCCCAGACGATTCAAACCGAATCGCCCGGGGGCTCGGGGGCTACACCCGCGGGTGCGCTCGCGTGCACCCGCCGTCGAAACAAAAATCGCCCGGACGATTCTACCCGAATCGCCCGAGGGCTCGGGGGCTCCTGTTGGGTTCATAAACCTGGGTCTCTCATGGACCGGCTTCCAAGCAAAGGCTCGACCCAGCAGATGACGTTGCGAACAACGCACAACTCCTGGGCTGGCCCAAATACCTAAAGTAGAGGCCAGAAGGGCGATCCAATCTCCGACCGGAAGGCCTCACCAAGGAGGAACAGCGCTCGCTTCCAAATCCGGCCCGCCTCTCCGACCGAAATGCCTGGCCAAACACCGCTTCTGAACTCCGGCCCATGTCTCCGACCGGGGATGCACTGAACCCCCTGCTTACAGCTCTTCTCCGACTGACGAGGTCAGAGCCGATAGGAACCAACCGACCGGGGACGCCCGCTCAGTGAGGACCAGGAAACAGACGGAGCATGTAAAGCAGGGCACTCTAGTCAACCGCGATACGAAGGACCATACCCTGCACACCTATAGGACAGTAACTAACAGGACATGTCAGAGGGGTGCCCTGCAACCTTCCAGGCATGTCAGAACCCAAGCAGTGTTGTGGGTGCCGATATTTGCCCTACAGTGTTGTAGGCGCCATCAACTCCCATACCAGGCAAACGCGGTAAGGCTCCCCCCACATGCCTCTGGACATCAACAGTGTTGTGGGCACCGTCATTTACCATACATGGTGAATGATAAAACCTCCCACATGTGTCTGACAATAATAGTGTTATGGGCACCCCTACCATCATCTTGTACCAGACAGCGTGGGCAACAAGACTTAGTAGCATGCGTACTCTCTCTCTCTCGCTTGTAAGGCCACCCCCTTCATCTATAAAAGGGGATGCGCTCTCTCCCAGCAGATAGATCCATGAGTTCACTCACACACACAATAGAACCACTAGGTTCAAAACACTCGGGCACACGCTCAAACACTTAGCTCATAGCGGAGCTCCCATAACTCTCGGCCCTTTAGTCCGAAGTCCGACCGGGCCGCTTGCACCCCCCCCCATCTTTCTCCCTTCCGTTTGTAACCCCACAGCAAACTTCGAGCACTTGGGCTCAGGAATAAAGTCACCGACCGACTCAAACTGGATGTAGGGCACGTTGCCTGAACCAGTATAAACCCTGTGTCATTGAGTGCTAGGCCACATCCGATCACAACATACAACAAAACTACAAATATTTACATGTTGGTCATTTCTGCACCGACAGATAGCAACATCGGACACGAGCAACATTTTGTCAAATGGAAAATTGGCTTCATCGTCAATGAACGCAAGTAAAACTAACAAAAGAGATAATGCTGCAAATGATGCAAATCGGCAAGATAATGTTGCCTCATTGTTAGTTGGACAATCCCCTATAAAGGATAGTAACACTAGACACATGAACTCTTCTACAATGAATGTAAGTTTGGATCTTTTACTAAGGAATGCTCGCAAAAACAATAGAAGAGATGATGGTGTTGCATACCTTGCTTCAAAGCTAGATAGACGAAATCCTTTGAAGGATAAGAACATCAACCACAATAACTCCTCTGCAATGCATGCAAGTTCGACAACATTGTCAAGGACTAACAACAAAAGGAGTGTTCCAGTTGAAGCAAATCGACAAGTCAGTCATGCCTTGCGACCAATCAAGCAAGATTCCCCTAGAAAGAATAACAACACCAAACGAGTGGAAGCCATCATGCCAAATGGAAATGTTACTAGAAGAGATGATTCCATTGTAGCATTGAGAAGCTTAGACGACCATGACCCCTTGAAAGCGAAGACAACAATGAAATATCAAAGCATATTAATAATTCTCAATCACCTCAATTTAAGGCAATGGCAGGACTGGCTCATAGACCAAAGAATTTTGATGGATTGGATCGATACGATGATGCCTTACCTTCTAGGTTAAAGAGGCAAGTAAGTCTTCATAATGGAGGAGGTTTTATCGTCGATAACCATAGTGATAGGGAATTGACGATTAAAGAAACGGAGGAAGCATCTCCTAAGCGGATGAAGAAACAAAGAAGCAAAAGGAGATGATACTAGTGATAGAAATCCTATGGATGAAATCAATGGAGATGTTTATCCTTTTGGGGTCAAAGATTATAGTGAAAGGAATCTAACTTATGGTCCGATGAAGAGACAACGAGGCAACATGAAAACAAATGAAGATGAAGCCATTGGTAACGGTGATATGGAACTCATGGAGGTTGAAGATGTGGAGGCCCGTGATTGTAGACCGAAGAATAAGAAGAAAAGAGGCATAGTATCAAATGAAGTTGATGATGGCAAAGGCGATGATAGCTTTGCTAAGAAAAAATTAGAATCATTGCCAAAAGATCATGTGTCACTTGATTGTACTAATGAAGCTACACAACCGGAGAAACTAACTCATAGAAAGTTGAAGAAATGGAGACAAGACATCATGAGAAATGAAGATGAAGAACTCCATGTTGATGGTGGTGATCATAGTCCTTTGGATGCTAATGACGATAGTTCGAGATTGACATCAGAAGCTCCTATTCTGATAGATTGTCTGGCCAAAGTGCCTGCACCATTTGTTTTGGAACATGTCAAGAAGCAATGCAACTATTGCTCAAAGCCTATTGATGAACCTATTGGGAGGTATTTTTAGAAGATATGTTGTTGATTTTATAGTATTATAATTCAATTCTTCTTACTATGCAAACATTTTGTTGATTATTTCAATAGTGGAATCTTTAAGATAGCCGGAGAGGAATACATATCGTTGGCTGGACATTTGTCAATCAAATCGTGTGACAAAGTATGGAAACTTTCACTACGTGAAAAATGCTTTGTAGGGGCGGCTGCAGATTGTTTGTAGAGGCGGCTCAGCCAGCCGCCCCTACCATACCGTCTCTACAACTCATGCATTTGTAGGGGCGGTTCCCAGACCACCCTTACAAATCGATTTGTAGGGGCAGCTACAGTACCAACCGCCCCTACAGTACATTTTTCCGCTAAAAAAATTTAAATTTACAATTCAAATTCGACCAGAACATATATATATATATATATAATTCAAATCTGACCAGAACATATATAATTCAAATCAGGCATACTGACAATCTACAAGCGCCGTCACAACTTGTTATATAATTCAAATCAGGCATACTATAATAATAACCTCAAAAAGCGCGTGAGTAATTTTTATTTTTCTAAGTGAAATTGAGTTCTAACGCTGTAACTGAAGGCCTGATGACACCAGCCGGCAACTGTCGATGCCATGTCTGATGTCTCGTACTCCTACCGTCTACCAACTGAACCATGGCAGCATCCTCCGGCCGGCTACAGAGTGCCGAGGCAGCGCCAGTGATCCTCCGTGAAGGCCGCGTCGCGGCGGCGGAACGCGGCCTCGGTAGACACGAGCTGCACGACGGTCGAGGACAGCGGCGCCACGCACAGGCCTCGCCTACGTAGATCCATCGCGCCGCCATCTTCCTCGCCCGTGTCCTGCCAACCACAGAAGCGATTCAAAGCTTTCAGTTTCATCGCAGATCTTTCGTGTGAAGCACATTGAGAATTTAGACAAAAAGTCGCTTTATGTCAGTATCTCAAATGAGAGAAGCATAGAATTGGCAAGAGATTGTGCCCATTTCATAGAATAGAGAAGAGTTTGTTACAGGAACAAACTCATATATACATATGCTACTGATGATCTTCCGATCTAAGTTACTTATGTCAAATACAACAATTCCAGTTTAGCATCTATGCAACTGAGATTTGTCCAGGCTCAAAACTAAGGACCTATGATGCATATGAAGCCATTAGCCATTATGTTCAAATGCAAAACAAACAGGGACTTGGAAAAATGGGAAAAATCAATATGGGCAAGATCTTAATTGAGTTTCAAAATATTCGAATTTGTGTAGAGATAGTGGTATGTCCTTAAAACTCTGGTGTTACTTTACGCAGGCTTTTTATGCAAGTATATATGCATTTTTAAGAAAGTATATTAGCCATTTTTTCAGAGCTCCTGTGAAAAAAAATCATACATGGTGCTAACCTGCTAAACAGAGGAAATAGAGCTGTCCCTTGAAGCAACCAATGGATCTCTGGAATGGAATTAACTAATCAATAAGATAAATCCCTGAAAAATGCACAGTCAGCTGAGACATTACTGTTGTCCTGAGGTAAGATAAGTTTTATATTGGTACCAACAATAATCGTATATCTGTAATAATTTTCAGGTATTTTGTTCCGATCGCGTTAACATGTAGAGGTGACATTACTGCTGAAAACATATTTAAATTACACATTTCATCTATTACATTCTGTTCTATATGATATGCCCAAAAATCACAAGAAGTTGTACCCTGATCTAAAGACCCAGAAAAATTGTTTTGGAATACAAACTGCAAGAAGCCAATCTTATGGAAAAAGGGCATCAGAAGGCACCTGCACACTTCTATCACCGGTACTTTCTCGGCGAACACCTTGAATATGGCACTTGGTCTTCCTCTAAGGCAATGCATCAAACACCTTGAGTGTGCCGTGTGGTCCATACATGTGAAGCATCAGCGGTGTCCACCAGCAGGTAGCGAGGAAGATGGGGAAATGAAAAATGGGGTTCAGGCTCACCGAGGATGATGCTAGTTGCTTGGTAAGACGGAATTATGGAACATGGAAAAATGCTGTAGTCTGATGCTATCTAATTAGCAGGGGGTGTGTGCGCTTAACCTGGGAGAGACGGTGAAGCGAATGCAGTCCAGAGTGCGACGTCGTCCACGAGCAGCGTTACCTGCAGGGGAGACAGCGGAAGTTACAGCCGTCAGGATTAGGCATGGTGGTGCAGTAGCGACTTGGGATCTGGATCGTGGTACCTGAGGCTGATGTGGGAGGTAGTTCTTGCGACGACGTTTGGAGGGACAGGGGGAGAGAGGCCGCCGGCGTACTGTGCAGGGCCCGTTGCGGCCGGAAGCACCAGATCCAGCGTGCGAAAGCGCCCAGGCCGCCGCCTCGGGACAGTCGCAGCTGGGGCTTGGCCAGGCCGCCACGTCGGGAGGGGGAGCGCCTGTGGCAGGGCTGTCATGGTCGGGCGCCCGTGGCGCGAGGGCCGACGGGCTCGCCGCGGCCAAGGGTCGGTGCGCCGGGTTCGGCCGTGCCGGGGGGCGCCGCCGCCGGAGGGGAGCCCGTGGGGACGGCCGCTGACGCCGCCGCGGGGGGGGGTGCGGCTGGCGGCGGGGAGGCGAAACCCTAGGCTCCCCCGTTCGCTTCGGGAGGTCACGTCGAGAGGGAGAGGGAGCGAAGAGGAGAGAAAGAGAGGGCGACGGGTGAGGCAAACCGGCTTAATATTTATTGTCGGTTTGGTATTTGTAAGGGCGTCCGGTGATTCAGCCGCCCCTACAAATGGACACAGCAGGGGCGGCTGGTATTACCAGCCGCCTCTACAAATCCGACCCATTTGTAGGGGCGGTTCGTATCACCAGCCACCCCTGCTGTTCTATTTGTAGGGGCGGCTGGTCTCTGGGCTCCCGAGCACACCACTGTAGGAGCGGCTCTATCACCAGCCGCCCCTACAAAAAATTTGCCTCGTTGCTACAAAGCGTTTTTCATGTAGTGTTTCAAGATCATTGATGCCCGTTGTTGAAGTGACAAAGCTTTCCAGGTCAAAGTTCAAAATATGGGAGACAGCAAAACCCTCTTGTGACAGCATTGGCTTGTATTTCTTCCCTAATAAGTTGAGGTATCTTGCTTTATCTCTGCATTTCATTGCATTACTTGTGCTATCGTTTTTACATGAAATTTCTTAGTATTGTTTTTTTTGTGTGTGTCATAGGCATGATGAAGATCTGGATAAACTAGTGAAGGAAGTCATAGAGGATGATCTGGTCCTGCAGACTTTTATTGGTGGAGCTGAGATGCTGATATTTCCTTCTACTCTACTGCCTGAAAGATACAAGAGTATGTGTAGTGCTTTTTCTTTCTTCAAATAGGATCTCTTTTAATGTACAAAATATGATTCTGCACCTGATTTGCTGTGCCAAATATCAAGTTTTAGAGTAGTCTCAATAAGTATTCATTAGACCTAGCTTTTTCCTTACATTTCTACTGTTCCGGGGTTTCGTCACTCATCATGTTAAATTTTGCAGCTTTTCAAAGGAAACACTACCTGTGGGGTGTATTCAGGCCAAGACAAGATCAATGTGCTACAGTTGCAGAGCCAGTACATGATACAGTGTGGTGCGCACAGGAGAAAGAGAAGGAGGAACAGCATGCCTCAAACCAGCAAGATGAGGTGCAAGAAGTCCACTGGAAGTCGCCTGCTAAGAGCATGCAGCAAGCTGCAGCAACTAGAGGTGTTCCAGGGTCTCCCCCGACATGGACTTTGGACCTGAAGCTCCTGAAAAAAGACAACTGGGAGATGCATTGCGTCACACTCTGCACCGTGCTGAAGCTACTGCAATTGCTACCAATCCTGCTGCCGTAACAATTGAAGCTACTGCAGTTGCTACCGATCCTGCTGCCGTAACAACTGAAGCTGCCACCATACCTACTGAAGCTAATGAAAATGATACCAATGCTGCTACCATACCCGGAAATCATGTGCAGAGCGACTCAATTGTCGGGGTTCCCTCGGGCAGGTTTTTCTGTTTCATTGCCGGACAGACTCCAAAACTCGAGCAGCTCATTCAAGAGATGAAGCGTGAAGGTTCGTTGGTACTTGCTATCCGGGGGGAGACGATTGGTGGTGGTCTATGGCCAGGCAACATCGCCTCCACTAATATAAGCAGGGCATGAGTTGCTCGCCCCGAAAACAGCTGACCAGCCAAAAGGTTTCATGTCTGCCTGAGCAGAGGGCTGCCTAGTTTCTGATGACAAGGTGATGAGGGCTCAAGCTGTTTTCCGGTGAAGCACTAGCAGATGTGGTGCTGACTTTTGCTGTGGAGTTAGGGAAATTAGTGTACTTGGCCCTTTATCAGCTTTTGTATATATACTCTTGTGGATGCCTGCCCTTTATCAACTTTTGTATGCTCATGTGGATGCCTAAGGTGACGCCTGTCTGTAGGGCTTCTGTATTCCAGCTAGTAGCCTAGTTTAATGCATGTTTCGTCTGTAAATTAATGGCTAGTTTAATGCATGTTTCGTCCTGTGAATTAATGGATGTTTCATCCTCTAAATAATTTTATTTAGTATGACGGACGGGTGCTCCAGCATTCTGGTGGATGCTGCTTGTTTCATTCCTCGCTTTGCAGTTGTGCTTGAACTTGTCTGATTATTTCCTCGATCAGTTATGTTGCGCTACACGCTCATGCAGAGTATACGCGCCTTGTATGGTGGTGATTTCGACAATTTTGCATGCGATGCATCATCTATTCAAAAGTTAAGTATTTTGAGAATCTTATAAAAATTATAAAGCCATTTAAAAAGCAAGAATAATGAGCAAGATTCTCAAAAAATTTCAGAAACGTTCTAAGATATATCAAAACCATCTCATACCATCCCTAAAAAAAAAACTCATACCAGGGCCCGTTTAGCAGAGCTAGCCATAAGAAATCCATAAATTAATTTTAGAGCTACCTGTTTATAGCTCTAGAAAATGCTGAATCTAAAGTTACAGCTACATCAAATGCGTTCAGCTGATTTATTTTGTTTATACTTTGAACTAGACTAGCAAATGCAGCAGCAATGGTATGGATATTGTCCGTCCGACGATAGGTTTAATCCGGATAATAATTAAATAAAGTAGATAACGGTTGCAAATAAAATACGGGACGACAAGTGTTCGGACGTCCGAAGCGTGGCGTCCGTCTGGACGCAGCGCCCACACCCATGCCCGACGCATGCAACTCCCTTTGCCCCACGTAAAATCCCACTCCAGAGGCAGCGTCCGTCCGGACGGAGTTCCGCGCCTACACCCGCCACCCGTCCGCATCGCATCGCGCACCCCCACATCCGCATGTGAACCACGGCGGCGCCCCCGCGGCAGCACCAGACTTGCCACGCCCATTCCGCGCCCGCACGTGAACCACGGTGGCGCCCCGGCAGCAGCACCAAGCGGCTGCGACAGGCCACTATCCACCAGGCGCCAGCCACCAACGCTGCAACATGTGCAACACCTGATCTACTTTTGAAACATAAAGATGAAACATTTACAACATACAACTGAAACATTTGAAACATGCGTGTATAGCCATAGCAACACATGCAACATCCGGATCCACTTTTGTAACATGTCTGAAACATCTGAAACACATGAAAACAAACACATGAAACATGTGTGTGCAGCCATAGCAATATATGAAACATCCAGATGAAAATACTTGAAACATGCGTCTGAAACATGCGTCTGAAAATACTTGAAACACTTTGAACACAGGCTTGAAACATGCGTATATTGTCATTGCAACATATGAAACATTTCAGATCTACTTTTGCAACATCCAGATGAAACACTTGAAACATAAGTGTGAAATGCCTGAAAAACTTGAAATTCGGCGTCGCCAACAACCATGGCCTACATGGTGAGGGACTACGGTAGCCAGCAAACTCGTGTTTAAGGGGACGTCGAAAGCAATGACCGGCAACCTCCTATTGGTGTCGGGGTGGTGATGGCGCTTTGCACGCCATGGCCACGTCCAGCGAGGTGGATGGGTCACGGCGGTGGACAACCCGAGCGGCGCGGCGCGAGATTGGAGCGGGTGCGGCGCGAGATGGGGGCCACCGGCGAGGCATAGCAGGCGGGCGGACGGCGCATTGCGACTACTTCAGGCGGATGCGCAATCAACGCATCGCTGCGGGGGGACGACGCGTTGAAAGTGGTAGCGGTCGCGAGTGGGGAAAATGTTCGGGAGTGGAAGAACAGACGTTGCCTGGACCAATCGATGAGCAGGCCTAGGAACGGGGCGTCCATACCACCACACCCGGACGTACGTCCTCATCAAACCATTATGGAATAAAATATGCTTAATAAATACCTGGGGACATTGGATATCCACGAGTGACGACTGACGAGTATCATCATCATTATATCGAATTATACTGCCGGACACGAGTTGTACATAGGACATGAATACATGACGCTTTGTAGAATTGTAGTCCTACTATATATTTCGTATATAGTTTGGTCTACTATACGTAGAAGAAGATCTTTTTTTTTTGAGCAAACGTAGAAGATCCTAACCTCATATGAGAGAAATGTTATATGGGCCGAATCTAAGAAGTATGTATGCAAACGAGGAAAAGGCGAGTATTTGGGCTGGGCTGGATGTGTAATGGAGGATTTGGTGGCCCAAGAGGAGATGGATACTGCATCTGCTGGCCTTCGGCGCGTGCGCGTCGTGTAATAACAAAGGGAAGGGAATATACAAACGTCGGCGGACGGAGTCCCAAACCGAATCGCCTCAGAATCTATCTAGACAGAAAAAATCCTCGTTCGAAGGGTCAGTTTACGTGATATCCCGCGCCCCTGCCCATACAGTGGCGCCCCCTCCACACCCACACGAATGCAGGCCAGCCTTGCAGCTGCAGCAGGTGGCTGCTACATATGAGTCTCACTGCAATATGTACAATATTAGATCTACTTTTATAACATCCGGATAAAATATTTGTAACATACGTCCGAATCAATTGAAACACTTGCAACATATGTAGAAAATACAAAGAAAACACGTGTAGCCATTGCAGAACATATGCAACGTCCAGATGAAACGCTTGTAACATATATGTAAAACATATAAAACATCCGAATGAAACACTTTCAAACATATGCGTGAAACATATGCAACACCCAGATAAAACACGTCCAACATACGTTTGAAGCATCTGAAATATTTGGAACAATACACTTGCAACATACGTGTATAGCCACTGCAACATATGCAACATCCAAATGAAACATTTGCAACTTCCAACATGAAAACACTTACTGCAACATAAGACTAAAAACAGATGAAATATTTGAAACATCCTCTTGCAACATATGCAACATCCCGATCTACTTTTGCAACATCCGTATGAAGCACTTGCAACATACCTCTGAAACATCTGAAACAATTAAAACATATGCTTGCAACATGCACTTTCAGCGTAGCGCAACATCTACTTGCTGCTCGTGAGAATGGAGGCTCATCGGTGTGTGGAGTTCACCGGAGGCAGCGGCTCGGCGACGCTTGGAGGCGGCGGCCCAGCGGCGGCGGCTGCACGATGTGGAAGGGAGACATCGGCCACACGACGTGGAAGGGAGGCATCGACCTCGCGTTGCGGCTAGGATGCAGCAGCCGCATGACTGGGAGAGGGCAGCACCATGCCGTGCTTGGCAGGGCCGGCAGCCTAGCGCCGAGCGCGCCGTGCCTAGCAGGCCCAGCGGCCGAGCATTGCGCCTCGGAAGTGGATCGCTGGCCTAGCGTCGTCGTGCATGAGCGGCTGCTGTCTAGGCTCGCCTGCCTCCGCGCCACCGCGAGCTTGCCTCTGCATGGAGCTCTCCTGCCTCCACGTCGTCGCTCGCGCGGCTCGCTGGCCTCGCGTCGTCGTGCACGAGCGACTGCCGTCGGGGCTCGCCTGCCTCCGCGTCGACACGAGCTCGCCTCTACGTAGACCGCATGCTGCTGGGGCTTTCTTGCCTCTGCGCCGCCACACTACGGCTCACCAGCACGCACCACGGTGCTCACTGCTCTGTGTTGGATGCACACAAGAAAGCAGATTGGGGAGAGGGAAAAGGGGGGCAAGGAAGCAAACCGATTAGTCATGAATGAGTGGATGAACAGAGCACTGCGCTCAGAGGCAGCAGGTGAGCGGATAGAAGCGATAGAAACGAGTGGACAGGAATGAGTGAATGAGCAGTTTTGAGAAACGAAGGAACGGAGGTTATTGGATTGACGACGCGGCCCGTCAACAGAGAATCCGGGCGGACGGACTTCAGCTTCCCAGCATTTGCGAAAAATAAATCACTTCTGGTTACGTTGCTAGAACAGATGGCACGTGAACTGTCACACATGCACCCGTGGATAGGGCTGCAGCTGCAATGGTATGGACATCGTCCGTCCGACGATAGGTGTAATCCGGATATAATATAATAATTAAAAAAAAGTAGATAACGGTTGCAAATAAAGAATGCTCAATAAATATCCTGGGACATTGGATATCCACGAGTGACGACTGACGAGCATCGTTATCGAATTATTATACTGCCGGACTTGAGTTGTACATAGGACATGATGCTTTGTTAGAAATTGTAGTCCTATACTAGTGTTACGTCTCTGTATTTCGGACTAGTATATACTCTCTCTTTTTTTGAAACTGTACTAGTATCTAGTTTGGTCAACTTTTTTTTGAGCAAAAAATAGTTTGGTGAACTATATATACGTAGATCCTCTGACCTCAGATGAAAGGAAATGGTATATGGGCTGAATCTAAGAAGTATGCAAACGAGGAAAAGGCAAGTATTTGGGCTGGGCTGGATGGGTAATGGAGGATTTGGTGGCCCAGGAGGAGATGGATACTACATCAGTTTACCGGGCCGGCGGGGCTGATCTTGACTCTCCTCGGCTTTGGGCCCAGCATGGCAATCAGTGCGTGAGCGTCACGTATATATAAGAGAGAAAAAAAAGGAAAGGGGTGACAGAAAAGAAAAAGAAAAGGAATATACAACGTCGGCGGATGGAATATCGGCTCAGAATCCACACAGCCAAAAAATCCTCGATCGTCGTCGGTCCGTTTCCAAATTCCAATACCGCCTCGCTCGACTCTCCGTATGCCGCACGACTCGGCGGTTCCAGGTACCCAAACCGCCTCCAAGCGCCTATATAATACAATATAATGAATGTCTTCTGCTCTGATCCTCTCCCTGCTCTCTCGACGCCTTGATTTAGATTTCGCCGCCGCAGTAGCTTTGTTGAGAGGAGAGTCGGCAGCAGGGGTATTCGTTTTCGGGCGTCCGTGCCTCTCTTCATTCTATCTACGGGAAGAGAAAGCAACGCACGGCTTCAGGTATGCGTGCACACCGGTCAGTCTAATGTTAATTTCTGTTCGTTGGTTTAAGTTGTATATATATAATTTATTTCTCGCAAATATGATGAATTATTTTATATGAATAATATGTTGTATACTTTGGTATTTAAAAGTATTCATGTTTGAATCCATATTTAGGTGGTGTTTAAATCCAGTGAGTAAAGTTTAGGGATGTCACGTTAGATGTTACATCGGGGTGTCACGTGGGAGTGTTCGGATAGTAATAATAAAACAAATTACAGAAGTCCTCAGTAATCCGCGAGACGAATTTGTTAAGCCTAATTAACCCATCATTACCACACATTTACTGGAGCACCACGTTGTCAAATCATGAACTAATTAGGCCTAAAATATTCGTCTTGCAAATTAGTCACAATCTGTGTAATTAGTTATTTTTTTAGTCTACATTTAATACTCCATACATGTGTTCAAACATCCGATGTGATAGGGAGTAAACTTTAAGGGGAGGAACTAAACAAGGCCTTAAGTTGGTTGTAGATGTATATAATACTCCCTCAAGTTGTTTTAGATAGCGACACGGTCTTTAAAGCGTAACTTTGACTTCTTATTTTTATAAAAATATTTATATTGAAAAGTGATATATATACTTTTATGAAAGTACTTTTCAAGATAAATCTATTAATGATTTATATTCCCAATGTTTGACCAAAGCCTGCCCAAAACGATATGGAGGGAGTGGATGGGCAGTGTTAGAAACTTGTCAAACAAGTGGGATAGATTGTTTTTACACAGTATTACCTTTACTTAATTTCGTGAGACATGCCGAAAAAACATTGCTAAATTTCTTGAGACTCATCCAAACACGAACAGAGAGAAGAATATATACCATTGTAATGTTCTAGGATTACCCTTCTTACTAGATTACTAGATGAAGTCAACAAAAAAAATTATCAATGTTTTTTTCATGAGTTCACCTGGTTCTTAGTAAAAAGATTTACTAATGTTTTCTTCATGAGTTCACTTGGTTCTTAGTCAAACAATATATGTTAAATTGGTCAGCCTTCCAATTTTGTTATAATAAATAAATATAGCACTATAGTCATAGCTTGTTTTCTACGTTGGTAACAGGGATGCCAAGCCGAACAAAATCTGTCGTCTCAAATAGACGGGCGTCAACTGGATCAAGGAATAAGAATAAAATTTGGGAGATGTCTTGGAAGGAGTTTCAGAAAACTCGAGCGAATATGCGTCCTGTTGCGAATAAAGCCAATCATAAAGTGAGCTTTGGTTCACAACCTGACAAACAATTTCCTTCGAAGAATATCAACATTGGTCAGCCAAGTGCAAAGATAGTGAACAATTCATCAGTGGCAAAGGGTGCTAGCAAGTCAAATCATGTTTATACATCAAAGGGTATGGAGCAGCCTACTGCCTCAAGCTTCGAAAAACGCTCGATTTCGGTAGACAAACAAAAGGCTCTCTTGAGGTCAACAATCGAAGGAAACACATGGCTTAAAAAGGAAACGAGAGGCGAATGATGCTTCACAGCCAACTCAGTTGAAGGCTAAGCCAGGGTTGGTTCCAAAGACAACCGATAGACTAGGTCATTATAGTGACTCGTCGTCTCGCTTAAAGAAGCGAGCAAGTTCTGATAAAGACATCACTAGTGCAAAATATAGCACTACAAAATTGGAGTTCCCAAAGGGTATACATATGGTTTCTAAGGACAGCTGCACGACCGAAGGTAACGACAAGCAAGATGAAATTGTCATTGGCAATGACAAAGAAAATGTGAAATTTGGTGAATATCATAAAGAGGGAGACACGACGAAGGCAAACCATACTCTGAATTCTACATTGTCAGATATCCATTGCAATTCAGGGAGCATCCCTTCATATCCATTTGGTAGAGACCTTCTAGAATTTCAAAGGGACAACCATTCTATGAACTTGACTTTTGAAAATGTTGAGAAAAGAGGGCTTATAGAAAGAAACATGGGCCAATTTGCTAATTGCAATGGAAAAAACAGTAATTCCATGTCCAGGAAGAGGAAGGAACCATTATCTGCAGAAGATCCTGAGGCACTCGATGATGATAGTAATGATAGAGTACAAGTGGATAATATGAGTTGTAAGCAGATGAAGAAACTCAAACAATCCAGAGTAACTTGGAAAGATGAAGCAGAAGATGGCGGTGGTGATCTTAACCATGTGGGTGTGGAGGATGACACCGCTAGTATTTTAAAGAATGGTCACGCTAAAGTCTCAGTGTCATCATGTGTTGAACAACAATGCTATAGTTGTTCGAAGCCCATTGACAAACCTAATTGGATGTATAATATTTTGAAATCTTTAAAGTATTCTTGTATTGTGCTTTATGTTCTAATGTCTTCATTATTTATGTCAACAGTGGCATCTTTAAGACAGACGATAAGGAATATGTATCATTGGATGGACATTTGTCGACCAAATTATGTGAGAAAGCATGGAGTTTGTCCAAACAATTGCTTAAAGTGGTTGAAGTGCAAAAGCTTTCGAGGTTGGAGGTGTGGCCTAAGGCATGGGAGGTATCAAAACCGATTGCCAACGACATTGGCATCTATTTCTTTCCTCATGAAATGAGGTGTGTTTCTTAACCTTTTCGTAACTTTTCACCACTATCGATCATCCAGGAGAATTAAAATGCCTAATTCCCTCTTTTGCATCCCTAGGCAAGACGAAGGCTTGGAGCAACTAGTTAGAGAAGTCATGCAAAATGATTTAGCTTTGCGGGCTATTATTGGTGAAGCCGAGATGTTGATATTCCCTTCTATTCTACTGTCCAATCATCACCAGAGTATGTTATCTTTTTTAATGTTCTCTTCCCTTACTGATTGCTTTTATGGTCAGTCGAAGTTAAGCCCATAGTCACAAAAATCCCTGGTCGATAGGGTTTAGGAACATGATATGCTTGCTTGAGAGGGTTTTTTTACAAGGCATAGTCCAAAACGACCCCGCGTACTCATGTCGAGGATGATGTTCCTAGGTAGAGGACCATTGCCTTTGACCCTGTTTTATGTGATGTGACTATGGGCAAGCCTAGTTAGTGGTTATGCATGATACCTTGTTCCATTCTTTGGTTCATTGACACACCGGTCTCTCTTATTTTGCAGCATTTCAGAGAAAACACTATCTATGGGGAGTATTCAAGCGTAGGGAAGACAAAGGTGTTGTGGTTGAAGAACCACTTAGTGTTGTGGGGTGTTGTGAGATGGAAAAAGCAGCAAAATGCTGTCTTAGACCAGCCTAATCATATTCATATGCTACCAGGTGAAGAACCAAATCAAGAAATGGTTCGGATGGCGAGCGCCATACCTTTGGAAAGACATATGTTGCCTCCTAATAAAAGTACTCAAGAAGCGGAAGCTAGCCGTCTCAAAGGGCCAACCAACAAGGGCTTTGATCTAAAAGCTCCTGGTGAAGAAGAGGGACAGGCAGAAGCTACTCCTGTTGTTGCATTTCCTGCAAGCCACGGACAGATTAACCCTAGTATGGGACATACCCCAGGCAGGCTGATGGGTTTTGTTGTCCGAAAAACTCCAAAACTTGATCGAATTATCCGAGAGATAGAACATGAAGGTGCATTGGTATTTGCTATGCAAGGGGAGATGGTTGGTGCTGGATCTTGGGCAGTCAGCAAGGCTACTGCCACTCAAAAGTAGAGGCCAAGGCATGAGGTGCTCACAACGTTCCTTGTCAGCATCAACAAAAAGGTGCGAAGCATGTCCTGGTACGAGACCATACCGGATTTGGTCTATTCATCGGTGGGTCAACTACATGGAAGTTGAGAAGAAAATCGACTTGGATTACAGTAGTTTTTGCACGCTTTGTACTTCTGCATATGTATCTTCTAATAATGAAAATTGATGTTGCTTCAGATTCCCTACTAGTAATGCATCTACCGTAGTGCAGTTTCGGTCTGGTTTCAACCAAGACATCTGTTGTGTGTGCGTGCCCATTCACACGTTTATATCTTCTCGCCTCTTTAATCTTTTATTTATATAATATACTCTTCTGTCGGCCTTATTTCTTATAATAGTATAGATGAACGCTAATCATTATTGATTGGCTAATCAAGCAGTGTAAACCTCTACATAAATAGAGACGATCAATCAAATCATCAAACAAAACTACATAAATGATCTCTAGAGGCATCACCACAATTTTTTATACACGTAGAAGAAACAAGGCAAAATAAATCAATGTATCTAGAGGCAATCGATATAGAACCGCTCCTGAAAAATATGGGTCCCATTCTGAACCTTATATCTTCCATTATCTCTTCCTCTCTTATCTTCACGCGCGCACTGCAGGTCTGCGCGTTCACCCGGTGCCCACTTGCATCCCTCTCTCCTGTAGTCCAGTACTAACGATCTCCCATATAGGAGTCTAAATGATATGGATATTTTCATGACCTAGATATTCAAACATCTTTTTTATGACAAATTAGATTTGGATAGCTTTTTTAATATCGTATATCTCTTCCTCTCTACACCTAAAAAATCCTCTAATATCATCATCTACCCGATGATATCAAACCTTGATCCCTTCTCACGCGTCCGTGTATGATCCACCACTCGGAGCTCACACGTTCGTGTCCTATCCTATTTCGATACGAAGACGGATCCACGTGTCCGCGCCCGGTACGAAGTCCGAGAGCCCACGGTCCGCATCCGTTTAATTCAAAAAATCGTGACCGGCATCTATCCAGTATGAATATAAAGGCACTATTCATTAGATATGGGATATCCGTTGGATAATCTAGATTACTAGGACAGAAATCCTATTTGGATATCCACTAGGAATGGACGGCAAATCCAAAATAAGTGTATACTTTATATCTATACCTAATATTAAAGAAAGAAGGAATTCTTCTATACATCTTTTTTATTTTCCACAATATCCTTACGTTCCTCCCTATCCAATATGTATATGGCATGGACTTATGGTCCATGTTTATACAAGTAAGAACAACACACATCTAATGTAGGACTGTACGAAGTTTGATACCGAAACATATTGAAACAGATGACAGTCGTACAAATCTCCAAGCCATAGATCGTACAGGTGATCGTGCAATGAGTTGTATGTTTAGTTGCTTCGCATGAGCACATTTGATAGTTTGCAAAATAAGATGAGTAAAGTATAGTTGGCTATCTTTTCTAAAACTCATAGACGTATGAATTGTGAACTAAGTTCAAATTCAACTTTATTAAAATATTCTAATAAATTCAAAGTAAATCGATAAAATCAAATCGTTTGTTTCCAAAAATAAAATTAATAATATTTTGATGTTAATCAATCAAAATAAGCAAGAAGAGAAATCAATCAGTCTTTGACATCCAAATATAAGTCTACTCCCAGTCTAAGGGCCTGTTGGCTCCTCCCCGGATCCAGCTTCGGCTGCTCCGGAGGAGCCCTACCGAACGTTTTATTGGAGGAGTCGTTTTTCAGTGAAAAATAGATGAGCCCTGCCAAACACGCCGTAATAAGAAGCTGACGCTGCTCAGCTATCCTCCCGGCGATGCTTAGCAATGAAATAATTAAGGTTCCTGACATACATACTTCTGCTTAGATTATAAAATTTTCCTTTTTCAGAGTTCACTACAAGCATTCATGTAGTAGCTTTGGAATGGAGGGAATAGATCAATAAATTTCCTACTACCTTCTTGTTTTTTCGGATGATGATTCTTTCTTGAGTATTTTTACCCCAGAAGATGGTAATGATAGTTGATTTCTACACATGTACACATATATTAATAACTTAATTATAGGAGTAATACTACCTTTTTCCTTGTTTTCCCTTCCTAATTGGTAAACCTATGTTTTTTTCTTGAAGAACTGAAATCTAATCAACGGAACAAAGGCACCAAAAAGGAATCTGCAATGCAGTATAACAAACTTATACTTTAATAGATCAATGACGAAGCAGATCAAGAAATTAGCAATAATAAAGGCCACAAAAGGGTGAGCAAATAAAAAATCGCCTTCACCTTAGCTGACGCGACGTGGGGAACGCAGCGCGAGCCGCGGGCGGCGCGAGGCACAAGGCACGAGGCACGGACGGCGCGAGGCGGGTCTGGTACGACCATGCGTGGTACGAGGTGCAGGGGCGCACGACGCGATGAGAGGAGGCACAGGGGCGCGTGGCGCGAGGCGCGGGACTCACACGGCGCGAGATGGGTCCATGCGACCGTGCCAGGCGTGAGTTTTTTTAGGAAATTAAGTGCGAGTCACGAGGTGCAGGGGCACAAGGCGCGAGACAGAGGCGCAGCTTATATTTATGGAGTACTATAGTCTATATACTAATATTAATTATGTGTAATCCAAGAGTTATTAGCTAATCTTGCTATTTGCTTTGCTTGATGAAGTACTATAATCTCGCTCGCTTGTTTGGCGCTCTGCATGTTTCTGAATGTAGTCTTGGGTTTTCATTATCGAAAATAAAAATTTATCTAAGGTCATAGACAAATAGGATATAAACAAGATATATCAAAAATATGGGACCAAATTAAAAAAATCAAATTATTTTGAAAATATCCGTAGAATTTGACTTGAAACTATTCTGAAGCTATTAAAAACATCACTTGTTCATTGATAAAAACAAAAATAAAACATTGTTGGTGTGGGATCGTGGCTGTTGCAGCGCCGCCGCTGTGAGCATGGATGTGGCTTGTGAGGGGAATGATGGGATAAGAGTTGGATTTCTAAGATTTTGATATATTGGGAGGAGCTATATGCGCTATTGGACTGTTGCACAGTGAATTTGGGCCGTGTGAGTGGGAGCAGGAAAACAACTAAAAAATCTGGTCATATCTAATTTTGTTGGACCCCATATATAGAACGGAAACTTCAAAGAGTGAATTTAGGTTGATAAAAAAAACTCCCTTATCTAGCACTCTAGGTTATGAAATTTCGGTCTATGAGACTGCCCACAACGTTGCTTTTTGCCGATGCTCAAACAAGAGAGAGAAGGCTGAAGCATCGGGTAGAAATGTTGTGAGAACCGATGCTGAAACCAAAAAAGTTCTACCCGGGTCATGTTGGTTCCTCGATGCTGAGAAGATAAAAAAAGTTCTACCCGGGTCATGTTGGTTCCTCACTGAGAAGATAAAAAAATATTTTTGCACCGGCCGTTCGTTGCAACCAGCACACTCTTCCTCTTCCACACACTAAGCAGCACGCTGACAACTCTGAACATTTGGGTTCCATATATAGTAAAGCATCGATGCTCGCACTGTATCCGTTTGTGGTTTCTAGCATTGATATGAGCTGGCGTACGGATCGAGATGATTTTTCAGCATCAGTTTCTTAAAAAGTGCTACAGTAGCCATTACATCAAATCTTACGATACGTGCATACAGAAGCGGATCTATGGCCCGGGCTAGGGGGCTGTAGCCCGGGGCACAGCCCACAAACTCTGAGAGCAGGAGCCCGGCCAGCCCCACCAATCCATGATATCAAGGCTCAGAGCCTAGGCTGGCCAGTGAAGCCTAGCATCGATTACTCTCCAAACAGGAGCTGCATCATTTTTTGATTTTTTTGTTATATCTATTACATTTATTAGTGCACGACTACTAAGGTTTTTAACCTCGATTAATTAGCCCTCTCCGTGGCCGATTTTTGGATCCACCACTGTGTGCATGGAGCATTAAATGTAGACGAAAAAAAACTAACTACACAGTTTGGTTGGAAATCGCGAGACGAACGTTTTGAGCCTAATTAGTCCATGATTGAACACTAATTGCTAAATAAAAACGAAAGTGCTATAGTAGTTAAATTTTCAAATTTCATGAACTAAACACAGCCTGAGGCTGCTTGGTTGCCACCCTGGCCTGAGAAGCCAAAAGCCAGGCAGCTGCATCTGACGCTAATTGCCTGGCCCAGACAGGTTTCCAGTGTGGGAACATAACAGGCCCTACATCTCTGGGACCTGGGATCGAAAATTGGTCCCATTTTTTTTTGCTAACTGGTTGGCAAAACCCTTCTTTGCTTATCCCGTGCCTTCAGTTCCGTCAAATCAGCTCAATGCCCGCACTGATTACAGGTGCGCCGCAGCTGCCGGTTGCAGAATCAAACAACGCATTGGCTACAGTCTGAAGGTGTGCTGCGACGGCCGGAAACTTGGCCGGAAGGATCGGCAGCGGCGCGTCGAACCGCAGCACATTGAGGGCGTGCCTGATGTCCGGCCTCTGGATCCGGTCCGGGTGCGCGCACCAGAGCCCGACGGCGAGCACGCGCTCCATCTCCTGGACACTGTACTCCCCATCCAACCGTGCACTACCGGATTCAGGTTCTTTGTCGAGTGCCTCATACCGATATACACTCGGCAAAGCCTTTGCCAAGTGTTACACTCGGCAAAGGACGCTCGGTAAACAGTTTATCGACAAAGACCTCTTTGCCGAGTGCACTTTATCGGACACTCGGCAAAGCCTATGCCGAGTGCTAATCTGACACTCGGCAAAGAAAAGTCGCCGTGACAGCGAGCGCCACCATGACGGCGGCTTTGCCGAGTGTCAAGGTCAAGCACTCGGCAAAGGTCGCCGCTTTGCTGAGCGCCGTTGGCTCAGGGCACTCGGCAAAGGTGGCCACTGTGCCGAGTGCCACCGGTAAGACACTCGGCAAAGGTAGCCTATTTGCCGAGTGTCCTGTCAAGACACTC